CTGGTTAGAGCACCCTTGCTGACATTAAGTTTCATTTGACCATGGCTATTAACACATTAACATCCCGCAACGGGCCGTCTGTTCAGTGTAAGTGGGTTTAATCCACCAGAAGAATGCTGTCTTAGTCATCTCCCCTCAGTAGGTTTTTCTGGAAGACCCTGCTGTATTAGTTCTAACCCACCAGGGTAATTGACTCGAAAGGCAACTAATTTGATGTTATATCCTTTCAAAATGTTTAATTTAGAGTTTCAAAACGTGAGCTTTTCAGCATGATTTTGAGTTGAACAAATGAGTTGGAGGCTGTAGCTCAGAATTAAGGCAGGCATGCCTCGGAGCTGTGCTGGAAGGTCAGCAGTCTGCCCAGTGGGCCGGTAGTGCCCAGGTGGAGGGAGAAATTGGAAAAAGTGGGCTCCAAGAAGGCCTGAGGAGGGAACCAGGAGTCCGCCACCCGCGTGGTGTGTGCACACCCAAGGTTTCTTTGAGGAGGTTTAAAAATCACAGAACTTGTTGATCAAGAGTCAGAGATGATTGATCACTCCAGTATCTTTGGAGTACTTTATTTTCTGTTCTTCTTAGTTTTAGTTAGGGTCTTGCTATGTAGTGTGGGTTTTCCTTGAACCCCTCCCTCAATCTTCCTGCCTCAGCCTCCCACATACTGTGATTACAGGCATGAGCCACCAGAAAGACCAGCATTTCTGTTAACATACATCACTTATTTGTTCTTTAGCTTTCTTCTGCATACAAATAAAAGGATTACAAAACTTGAGTTTGTACAATTCCAAATTGCTATATGCTGGCATAGCATGATGGCAGCGAACCACTGGTTGTATGAGTGGCTTAGTGTCTCATTTTTAGAGGTTTCTGTGCACACAAACGAAAATTAGTAACAACATTGGAGGGTACACTGTTCCAGATACTTTGTCTTTTTGGTTGTGAGCCTGAGCTTTTAATGGCAGCGTCAGCTCTCTAGCCCAGTACCAGATACTTTCTAAGTGCTCTGCATACATGAATTTATTTAATTTTCACAATAACTCAGATGAGGAAATAAGGGAATACAGAAGTTAAACAATTATCTGTGGGTATGCTCCCAGTAATGGAGAAGTGAAACCCAGGAATCCAGCTGCACAGACCATGCACTTAACTATGCCGAAATGGTTTCCCTTTTTCCCCTTTTTCTTTAAGACTGGGTCTTATTCTGTACTCCAGGCTGGCCTTGAAGTCAAGGCAATCTTCCTGCCTCAGCCTGCTGAGTACATCATCACACTCAGTGATATCTTCTTTTATGATTTCTGTATGAAGAAAGAATGAACCCAGCATGGTGGCACAGGTCTATAATCCTAGCATTTGGAAAGTGGAGGCAGAAGGATCAGTTTAAGGCCAGTCAAGGCTATATTAGACCTTGTCTCAATAAAAGGAAAAAAGGAAGGAAGGAAATGTAGGATATAAAAGTGGAAACAGGACTTGGGGGAGAGGTGCAGAGAGATGAGGACAGAAAAGGTTAATGGGCTATACGACACAACACGAAAGCAGGAGGGAATATTTGAGGGAACAAGCAGCAAGGGGAGGTGCCTAAGACCTGCCTAAGAACAGGCCCACCAACATACCAAACAGATGGGAAGGGGCTCAGAGCCCACCTCTCTCTGAGGAGCTATAGGCAGTTAACAGTTGCTGAGGGAGGGGAAGTCACATTCTTCAGTGAAGTAGCCACTGGTAAAGTTGCCCTTGCCCAAGTAAATAACTTCCTATATACCCATGCTCATACATGTAACCCAATTAAATGTTCTGGAGCACCAAAACAAAAAGTAGGAAGGGGACTTGTTGGGAAAAAGAAGGGGGTCAGCAGGAGGAAGGAGGAGGGTAAGAGAGAAGGTTAATAGGAAGACTGTGATCAAAGAACATTATATGGGTATGAATTGTGAACAAGAATGCTTTTTGTTTTTGGTCTTTTTGAAGCAGGGTCTCCCTGTAAGCCCCAGCTGTCCTCGAACTCACAGAGATCAACCTGCCTCTGTCTCCCAAGTGCTGGGACTACAGGCATGCGCCACCACACCCAGCTTTTTCGGTCTTTTTGAGACAAGGTCTCCCTGTAGCCCCAGCTGACCTGGAACTCCTTATGTAGACCAGGCTGGCCTTGAACTCATAGAGATCTGCCTGCTTCTGCCTCCCAAGTGCTGGGGCTAAAGGCGTACACTACCACGCCTGGCAAGAATGCATTTTTAAAATGTTTTTTTAAAAGGAAGGGGAGCAGTGGGGGTCAACAGTGGGTGACAAGAAAGAATAAAATAAAAAGGTGTATATGTTTGGAAATGTCACAAAGAAATCCATTACTTTGTATGCTAATGTATTAAAATACAGTAACAACAAAATGATAGCAGTTGGGTATGATGGTACATGTCTGTAATGCCAGAACTCATGAGGACGGTGAGCTTGAAGCAGGAGGACAAGAGTCAGAGCCAGCCTGGCCTACACAGGTGACTCTATCTCAAAAGAATTCCTCCCCCAAAAAAGAACAAATACAAAAAAAAAGAATGGAGACAAAAATAAGGGGAAGAAACACATAGATTATCAAATGTCTATAAACTAGTTTTGGGGCTTTTCTTTCTGTGGTCCTGGGGACCAAAGCAGACCTCCCACAAACGCTGGGCAAGCACTCTACCATTGAGTACATCCCAGTCCCTTGAGTTTATCTGTAAGGTGGAATGAAGTAAATAATAGAAACTACAGAAATTTCTATGAGATGGTGAGAGGAAAGTAGAGAATTGCTTTTCTGTGGGACTAAAGTATAAAATCACTCATTTATAGAGTCTACAAATTAGCATGTTCTTAAGCTTTAAATGAGTACTTTTCTCTGTTAAGTAAACTCTTTTCCTAGTACATTTAAAGACAAGTTCATATGCACAGTTAGAAACTGTCATCCTAAAAACCCTATACAAAACTCAAAAAACTACATACCTAATGTGGTATGAATTTGACCTAGAAATAAAATTATCTATGAATACTAAAACTTCCTGAAAACTAAGCCACATTCTTGATACCCTGTTGAATCCCAATGTCAGTGTGATCAGCTTCTTTACCAAATTCAAAATCAATTCTTCTTTTAAGCATAAAAATACCTTATTTTCCATACATATTCATGCATGGTAAAAGTGACCTACCTAGGTCACATGATACCGCATTACAAATCACACATATTCACAGGAGTAATTATAATAGATCCTAAAAATATGTAGTTTTAAATTCTTTTCTTTGAGACAGGGTCTCACTATGTAGTCCTGGCTGGCCTGGAACTCTCTATATAGACCAGGTTAGCCTTGAACTCACAGAGGACCAGGGTTCAGCTCCCAGTACCCACATGGTAGCTAACATGCTTCTGTAACTCCAGTTCCAGGGGATCTGACACTCTTTTCTGGCCTCCATAAGCACTGATGATACAGGTACACTTACATACATGCAGGCTTAACACTCATACATATAAAAATAAATAAATCCCACAAATTCAAAACACACCTTTATGTTTTATCTAAAAGCTGGCTCCTATGAGAAGAATTACATGTATGTAAAGCAATGTTACTTCTAGACTCAAAGGAATCCCTGGATTTGAGCTTGACAGCAGCGACATCACTGTAAGAGCTCTCTTGATCATCTTCGGTTTCACCTAGAAGGAAGGAAACAAAATGCTAATATAGTCTCAATGCTAACGTTCAAGATATGAATCCAAAATGTGTCAACATTAAAAGGAAGGCATAAAGTTGTCTGATACAGAGCTGCTGTTTACTTATGTTTACTATTATGAATAACAAAGTTCTAAATGAGACATAGTTAAGCTCATTTATTTGGTGTTCTTTCAGGCTCACAATTATTTCCTAAACAAATAACCAGAATAATGTGTAAAAGACTATGTGCTGGGGCTGGAGAGATGGCTCAGCAGTTAAGGGCAGTGGCTGTTCTTGCAGAAGACCTGGGTTTGAATCCCACCACCCCCATAGTGGCTAACAACCACTTGTAACTCCAGTTTCAGGGGATCCGACACCCTCTTCTGTCCTCTGCAGACACTGCACAACATGGTTACTTATACATATGTGGGCATAACATTCATACATGTAAGATTTAAAAAAAAAAAAAAAAGACTATGCCCTGAGGCCTTTAATGCAGAGTGCAAAATGAACAGATGAGCAGGAAATAGTGGGAAATTTTTAGTTTATGGGAAGAAACTACACAGTAAACTTACCACATAATTTCAGACATGATTAGTATAGACCTGTTTTCCAACGCACATGCGCGTGTACGTGTGTGGCGAGAGTAATGTATACACGTGCACACCAACATTTCAATATCCAGACAACTACTTTCAGGTTATGTTTCTTAAAAATGAACTAAATTTTATGCTTATATTTTTCAAACACAAATCCGTCATGAGAATTTCAAAGTGATTATTTTAATATCATAATCAAAGGCCAACACATACCAGAAATGGGAAATTATCCAAAATACAAAAAAGATGCTTAAAATGTGCACAAGAGCTCTCCTCACTCATTCTATCCAAATTTATCCTGGTTTAATAGTATACTGAACTTTTTTTGAAGAAAAAGACCATTTTCTACTTTTACCTTTTAAGTACCTACCCCACAATTGTTTCTAATACAAACAAAAAGACAGTATAGGCTACATGATAGTTGAAAAGAAAGTACATTCTTCAGAGAAGCTGACCTTCAGTTGGACACCAACAGCTTCTGGAGGAAAGGCATAAAGTACACAGTATCAAAAGCCAAAGTTTAGAGATAAGAATGAGCAGGAGATCAAGGACAATCAGCACAAAATACATAAACTTTTTTTTCTGTACAAACACTAAGAATCCATCATTTCCTTCTGGCTGTTTCAGAAATAAATCTGATATAAACTGGAATTAGAAATAAATGGATGTCAGGTGTGGTGGAGCACACCTTTAATTCCAGCACTCAGGAGAGGTAAGTGGCCAGCCTGATCTACATAGCAAGTTCCAGGCCAGGTGGGACTACAGTGGGGG